GTGTGTGTGTGTGTGGAGTTAGTGCACATGCGTGCCAATGTATCTTTTTAGTTTTGTTGCTGTTCTTGTGTTCTTCAGAGAGAGAGTTTTAGTGAAGCAGGCGGGCGGGCGTCTGCCTCAGACGTCCACCATGCCTGGCCATAATTCAAAGAAATAATGCAGCTTACCTTTTAAGCATTCAGAATTTTTTTTAATTAACTAGGCTTTACTTACTACCTTGGTCCATAAAATCTCACTTAATATGTTTCAGTAAGTTTCATCATCAAGTTCATTCACAATCATTAAACTTCTGTTCTTTATTAATTTGAATTCAAAAATTATTTTAAACATACTTATTTCAGTTCTCTATTAGGACCTAATCTTACATATGTGAAAGCTGGGTATTTGGGAAGGATTTTAGCCCTTAAACCACAGAATTACCATCTAGGATAATTTAGTACTTTAGTGTAGCAAAAGAATTAATAAAACTACAAGGAATCTTTCTGGCCTCCGTGCCTCTTTCTTAATTATAAGTAATTAGCCTGATTGTATGAAGAATGCAAACTTTTAAGGTGAATATCTTAATGGGGGGGAGGGGTGTCAGTGTGCATCCTACCCAACATTTCTTCCATTCTGTAATTTTAGAAATTTCTCACTAACTTCTATTATTTTTCTTTGGTTATAGATAGAGGCACTATTTTGTTTATTTTACATTTCTAGTTATTATTTTCATGTTTAGATCTTTCCTTAGTTATATACATTAGTTGGTATTTTCCCAACGTTTAATGATTTCAGAGGGCCTTCAGTTAATGTAATGTATCTCTGAGGTAGGCATTATACCCATTTCACAGACAAGGAAATAAATAAAGAATTCAAGTGATCCACGTAGGCCAACTCAGAAAGTATGGTAGAGTCCTGCTGGAATTTAATCCTAACTTCTAGGACTTTTTTAGTTATTTGCCACCATTTAATCATTTATTATTGTTATATCAGAGAATGTTTGCCAATAACAAGTGTTCATGGACATTTAAAAATATAATATTTTAAACATATAGAGGTATAATGTTATTCAATATAGATCATCAAATATCTGTTGACAAAACACTTTGAGAGATTATTTTATAAAGAATGAATAATTGAGTACAAAAAAGATTGCTATTACATTAAATGATGATAATAAAAAAGGATCCATATTACTGAGTTTATCAGATTTCGACTTACTATTGGCAGTAAGTTTCAAGAAAAGGTTTTAGAACTTTCTGAGTTCCATTTATTCCAAAATTTCTTTCTTTATTCCCATAAAGGCAGGTGGGATGGTCACTTTAAAAGCTGAAAAGTATTCCCCAAATCAAGCAGCCTATCTGTGTGAGATTGAAACCTCTCCCAGGGGTGTTAGGGCACACTCACTGCAGTCAGAGTCTTGACAAAAAGGGAAATGCCTTTGCCAGCCCCACCTCCTTTTCTTAGTCCCACCAGTTTCCTTAGCGTTCTTTTCTCGCCCAGAAGAAAGGCTCCTGTCACTGAAAGCTGCCGGCAGGCCCTTGTGTACACGATGCAATCGGCCTGGAGGCTGTGGCTCCAGCCTTCTCAGTCTTCCTTCCGCTAAACACAAACCACCTTCTTCTTTCTTCCATCTAAGTCTCTGACTTCTGTCACAGCCCAGAGGATCACTGTTTGGTGGGGAATTTGGGTCACAGAAAGGTGAAGTTTTCTTGTGAGCTTTCTTACGTACTTTCCCTGCATTTAAAAAGAAAAAAAGGATTCCTATGTCTCCATGATTTCTTGCTATTTAAATTTAAGACTGTCAGAATTATATTTCAATAAAGCTATGATTTAAAAACAATTAGGAGTGTAACTTAGTTGAACAAAGCCCTACGAGAAGACATTTAGTTAGTATTTCTCTGCCCCTTCTCCCACTACACACACACCCTCCTCGCCCCCTCCAGTTTGCATTCACTCTTAGGATCTACTGGGAAATACACCTATTTGTAATTGCTCCACTTTTAAGTATATACTCGTTTTAATAGAATATCAAACTTCATGTGTTTATTTGATGTTTCAGGTTGTTAATTTTCCTTACAGATTATATACTTGTGCTATGCTAAACTTAAACACTTAAATAGTATAAATATCAAAGTTATTAATTTGCTTTTCTAGTTTTCAAAGAAATAATGCAGCTTACCTTTTAAGCATTCAGAATTTTTTTTAATTAACTAGGCTTTACTTACTACCTTGGTCCATAAAATCTCACTTAATATGTTTCAGTAAGTTTCATCATCAAGTTCATTCACAATCATTAAACTTCTGTTCTTTATTAATTTGAATTCAAAAATTATTTTAAACATACTTATTTCAGTTCTCTATTAGGACCTAATCTTACATATGTGAAAGCTGGGTATTTGGGAAGGATTTTAGCCCTTAAACCACAGAATTACCATCTAGGATAATTTAGTACTTTAGTGTAGCAAAAGAATTAATAAAACTACAAGGAATCTTTCTGGCCTCCGTGCCTCTTTCTTAATTATAAGTAATTAGCCTGATTGTATGAAGAATGCAAACTTTTAAGGTGAATATCTTAATGGGGGGGAGGGGTGTCAGTGTGCATCCTACCCAACATTTCTTCCATTCTGTAATTTTAGAAATTTCTCACTAACTTCTATTATTTTTCTTTGGTTATAGATAGAGGCACTATTTTGTTTATTTTACATTTCTAGTTATTATTTTCATGTTTAGATCTTTCCTTAGTTATATACATTAGTTGGTATTTTCCCAACGTTTAATGATTTCAGAGGGCCTTCAGTTAATGTAATGTATCTCTGAGGTAGGCATTATACCCATTTCACAGACAAGGAAATAAATAAAGAATTCAAGTGATCCACGTAGGCCAACTCAGAAAGTATGGTAGAGTCCTGCTGGAATTTAATCCTAACTTCTAGGACTTTTTTAGTTATTTGCCACCATTTAATGTAATGTATCTCTGAGGTAGGCATTATACCCATTTCACAGACAAGGAAATAAATAAACAATTCAAGTGATCCACGTAGGCCAACTCAGAAAGTATGGTAGAGTCCTGCTGGAATTTAATCCTAACTTCTAGGACTTTTTTAGTTATTTACCACCACTTAATCATTTATTATTGTTATATCAGAGAATGTTTGCCAATAACAAGTGTTCATGGACATTTAAAAATATAATATTTTAAACATATAGAGGTATAATGTTATTCAATATAGATCATCAAATATCTGTTGACAAAACACTTTGAGAGATTATTCTATAAAGAATGAATAATTGAGTACAAAAAAGATTGCTATTACATTAAATGATGATAATAAAAAAGGATCCATATTACTGAGTTTATCAGATTTCGACTTACTATTGGCAGTAAGTTTCAAGAAAAGGTTTTAGAACTTTCTGAGTTCCATTTATTCCAAAATTTCTTTCTTTATTTCCATAAAGGCAGGTGGGATGGTCACTTTAAAAGCTGAAAAGTATTCCCCAAATCAAGCAGCCTATCTGTGTGAGATTGAAACCTCTCCCAGGGGTGTTAGGGCACACTCACTGCAGTCAGAGTCTTGACAAAAAGGGAAATGCCTTTGCCAGCCCCACCTCCTTTTCTTAGTCCCACCAGTTTCCTTAGCGTTCTTTTCTCACCCAGAAGAAAGGCTCCTGTCACTGAAAGCTGCCGGCAGGCCCTTGTGTACACGATGCAATCGGCCTGGAGGCTGTGGCTCCAGCCTTCTCAGTCTTCCTTCCGCTAAACACAAACCACCTTCTTCTTTCTTCCATCTAAGTCTCTGACTTCTGTCACAGCCCAGAGGATCACTGTTTGGTGGGGAATTTGGGTCACAGAAAGGTGAAGTTTTCTTGTGAGCTTTCTTACGTACTTTCCCTGCATTTAAAAAGAAAAAAAGGATTCCTATGTCTCCATGATTTCTTGCTATTTAAATTTAAGACTGTCAGAATTATATTTCAATAAAGCTATGATTTAAAAACAATTAGGAGTGTAACTTAGTTGAACAAAGCCCTACGAGAAGACATTTAGTTAGTATTTCTCTGCCCCTTCTCCCACTACACACACACCCTCCTCGCCCCCTCCAGTTTGCATTCACTCTTAGGATCTACTGGGAAATACACCTATTTGTAATTGCTCCACTTTTAAGTATATACTCGTTTTAATAGAATATCAAACTTCATGTGTTTATTTGATGTTTCAGGTTGTTAATTTTCCTTACAGATTATATACTTGTGCTATGCTAAACTTAAACACTTAAATAGTATAAATATCAAAGTTATTAATTTGCTTTTCTAGTTTTCAAAGAAATAATGCAGCTTACCTTTTAAGCATTCAGAATTTTTTTTAATTAATGCATTTATGCTGTTTCTCTTTTATTAAAACTTCAAACATCTTTTTGTTTCCCCGTGAACAGGTGCTGCTTTCATGTTCCCATGTATTTCACAGGGTAAGTCAGTCCTGCTCCACTCCCATCACCAAGTGCACAATACATCATTCTTGTAGCTCGGACAGATCTTACTTGTTTAAAGTCTCCTAAAAAGAGCCATTTATTTTATCCATAATCACCATTTATAGTGAGAAACATGACTGCTGTAGGTTACGGTACAACTCATCCTATTTTGAAAATCATGCATTTTGTGTGACAAAAGAACCACAAATGTTTGTATAACAGATTGTTAATAATGCACATCAAAGAGAGTGATAGCTTAATTCACATGATCCGTCTGCATGGTAGTCTTATACACAAGCATGATTTACCTTTATACTAGCTGATTTTCAGAAGTTTTTGATGTCTCTGCATGTATATTCTTGTAAAAAATCATTTTTGGAACAGGTTTTATAAGGAAGGTGTTAACATCTGATGAAACTTCTTTATAATCTAAATTAGACCAAGTCTCATAATTATGAGAGAAAAGAACACTATAATTACATTAGAAGTAAAAATGTTGTTTATAAGTAATTACTCATAAAATTTTAAGTGAAATGTTTTTCTTCAGGCATGCCTTCAGGCTTTTGAACAGTTCACGAATAAAAAAACCTGTCCTCTCTGTAGAAGAAACCAGTATCAAACACGAGTGATCCACGACGGGGCCCGCCTCTTCAAAACAAAGTGTGTGACAAGGTAAGAAGGGCCCCTGCCACCCCTCAGGCCCCAGTGCCCCCGCACCAGACACGCAGGTGCTCGCACATCGAGCCATGATAACTAGTTTTAAGAGAGAGGGATTTCATCTCTCTCTTGACCACATCTCCCCAGATTTATGTACAGCACAAGGCTTATGGTGAGTACTGAGATATCTGTTAGTCATTGCAAGTTAGTCATTTTCAAATATCTGTGTTTTAGAATCCAAGCCTACTGGAGAGGACACATTGTTAGAAAGTGGTACAGAAACCTGAGGAAAACGGTTCCTCCCACAGATGCCAAGTTAAGGAGAAAGTTCTTTGAAGAAAAGGTAGGTATAGATCTTAATTCTCCTGATGCAGTCTCTATATGCAAGTGATTCATTTGGGGTCAATAAGGCTAACACAAGCAGTAAAGCTTTGAGACTTACTTCATCTTCAGGGCCTTTTATAAGTCGTTGAGATGCTCCTAAAAATCCTGTTCAACTTAAATTGGCATTCCAACCTAGATAGTAAAATACTTACAGATTTTCTTTCCTAGTTAAATCGTAAAATTCATAAAATTAGAATAGGTTCAATTCAAAACAACTTTCGTTTGGCCATTTTGTGTCAATTGTTTAAATAAACTAATCTCTTCAGATAGAAGAATGGAAACAAGCTCAAGTTTTTCACATCCCCTGAACTGTAAGTAGATGAAGATATCAGATTTACATCTTGTAGAAATGATAGAAATGGAAGGAAACTTTAAGGAAAATAAAGCCTCCACAATTCCACCTTTTTATCGACCACCTCCTGGGTCTCGTGGGATCATCAAAACGAGTTTTAGAAATAAAGAACCTCGTTTCTACCTTTTCTTTTAACCACTTTTTATCTTTTACTTTTATTTGGGGGGACTTATTTAACAATCTTTCATTACTTGTACCCCATACACAAAATGGGCAGGCATGGCAGAATGGGAGAGGCCAGCTGCACACAGGGTCCACCCCGGTTCTACCCACAGCAGCTCGGTGGTTTCAGGCAAAAGCTCATTCCCTCATCTGTAACGTGGAAGTAAGAAGTGCTGGGCTATGAATAGGATGTAGTATACTACTAGCACACAAGGCACTGGGACATTTGTATTTATTATAAATATCAATGTATTATTTAAGTTAATCTTTATGTAAATTGTTGTAGATGTAGTGATATTCCATGTTTTATTTTTTATAATAGCACTGTGATGACCCAACATGTTTGCTTCACATCACTAAGATAGTTTATTACTCACACTGTCCTATAATCATTTTTTATGGAAGTATCATTTACACATTTATTTAGATCTTTTCTAAACTTTGTTTTTTTAGCTTCCACTCTCATTTGGAATATGAGTGACAGAAATTTACTCTCTTTTTTTCTTTTTTAAGTTTATTTATTTTAATTGACAAATGAAAGTTAGTCTTTACTATATAGTAATCCTTATTTCTCCTCCTAATTATTACTTCCTTCAGCTTGCAAGGCATTAAATAACTGAAGTTCTGTTCTTTGGGTGAATATGTTCATGTTTGCCACATCGATACGCTACATGGTTTTATCAGAAACATAATTTGACCTTCTCAGTCTAAGGTGCTGATCTGTCTGTGCCTCTCATGCACTCTTAACCTCATGAACCTTTTACTTACCCTGGAAAGGGGGCTTCTTTAAAATGTCCCAGAATGACACAGGAATTTTAAAAATAAATGGATTTAGGATTGACTATAAAGCAGTATGATTTTCTTTTTCTAATACCCTTCCTGGTTACTTATGTATTTGTTCCAAGCAATGTAGTTGTAAGTTCGTGCAGAAGAAAATCAGAATATTAGTTTATTGTGATATCATTAGGCCTCAGATTCAATCAAGGAAATATATTTCATTTGTCCTCGGGAGTAGGGCAACAGTAAATGCCATATCAATATGTGAGCAAATGATGTTAAACCACTGTGTGTCTCATGACAAAGACGTTGTGCCAGTAGGTGGACAGTATTAGCTTCCATGGCTTGAGAGGCCAGAAGTGTTATCCCTGTCTTGTCATGGGGAGAGGGCACCCTCTGGCTCGTGGAGAGCAGTGAACGGCTCTTGGCATTGAGGGCAGGCAAAAGAGTGGACTAGAGGCTGTGGATGGAGAGTCTGCAATTCTTCATTTATATAAGAAAAAACCAAGTCATTCATGTCTGTTATAGCATGAACTGGGAGCAAAGGATATTTAGGAAAAGGGGACAGTGTGAAAAGATGCCCCCCCCCATTTCTGTTTACAAGCTGGTCATGTGAAAAGCTTTCCATTTTTCAATGCTGCCCAATTTTTTTTTCAAACATCTCCATTTTACAGAAGAAACAGCAAATCGGCTAAAAGTCCTTATAATTTACTGGGTGAGAATATTGTTCCCTTTTTTTTTACCCTTGGACAGGACTTGCTCCTCTTTTACTGCTATAAAACAATGTGTTGACTTCCTTCCTCAACCTCTGATTCTTGTCCATCGGCCAAGACCATAGTTGCAGCCTGACCTGAGTCTTCATGCTCCCTGCCTGCAGCAAACACGTACAAGAATTTGCAGCCAGTTTATCATTTTCTAGGCAATTCTTTCCATCAGGGATAGCTCATCTCTAATGTTGTAGTTATTCTCAACTCAGTAAATGATTGTCTCCCACGATATGTCTCATCCTCCTATATTCTTTCCGTGCTTTTTTGTATATTCAGTAGTCTGACAGTCTTCTGTGTTACTCAGCCACTTCTAAAGTGTAATAGTGTGTTGGCTCTCAAATCAGAAATCATTCATTGTTTTCCTTATAAAATTTTAATTACACTTTCATTGTCATTTTACCTTATATGTATAAATATTTTGTCATGTGAATGCATCATCTTATAATAACTTTTCAAAATATAGGCTATACTTTGTTGTCACCTAGGCAAAGAGTCACAAGACTCGATTGATTGTCCTGGCTACTCTATTGTCTGTGATTTTGTGACACAGAGAAAAGTTAACTCACTTCTTCATTTTCCACTCTGGAAAATGTAAAAGACTCAATGCTGATAGGATATTTTGACATCCCAGAATATGTTACAGATTAAGAACTTTTTGAGTTTGTAAGTTGAAGCCTAGAGAGCTCGGTGGTGTCTCAAGCCATCCTGTGCCGGGAGGCACCTTTGGTGGCCCTACTCCACGTCTCACAATGTTTCCCAGTGAAAGAACACCAGCTGTGTCTTTACTGCCAAGATCTAACCTTGCAGTCTTTCTTCTTAGAGATTTTTAACCTGTGCAAATAAATCCTAAGTAAATGTATCTTTAGTTTCTTTGAGAAAGATAAGGAAAACCAAACCCAGTTGGCAGGTGAACAGCAGGGCTCCCCTTCCTCACCATCACATCCCCACCACTACTTAAGGAAGGGCTTCATTCCTATGCTTGCTTGGTGGGCCATGAGCCCCTGGGGAGCCCTCGTGGCCTCCTGTGTTCCTTAGTATTTGCTTTTTGAATTCAGTCTCTCCCACAACTTAATTTGCCACTTCTATGATGAGGATTATCACAGTGATAGCTGTTCCCATCCTATGTCAGATCTGTAGCTCTGTTCCCAACAGATCTGATATCTGATATCTGAAGACCCTCATATGAGGGTATATATATACTGAATATTTTAAGGAAGAAGACTCCTTCCTGAAGGAATTTGAGAAACAACAAGTGCTGGAAGGACTCTCTGACCTCCCCCTCTGCCCCTGAGGCGGCGAGAGGTGCCCTCCTTATACCTGGAGGAAGGGAGCATCCTCGCCTCCGAAGCTGGAGGGACTCTGGGAGGAACGTGAACGAGCGGGCCTTGCTAACCTTCCCCGTTTCCTGCCCTCACCTCACACCCTTGTCCTGCCGTGTTTTCCCACAACTTTTCACTCTTTGTTAAACCCAGCATCAACACGCTTGGGCTTAACCATTTCTCCAGGTCTTCATTTCCTTATGAAGGCTCCTGTGTCACACATGACCTATTTTTAAATAAATTTATATACTTTTCTCATGTTAACTTTTTTTTAGATTCACAGCTCCTGCTGAAGAATTTAGGAGAACCTGTTTTATATGTACAGTCATGTGCTGCATAACAACATTTTGGTTGACTGCATATATGACGGTGGTCCCATAAGATTATAATGGAGCTGAAAAATCCCTATCACCCAGTGATGCTGCAGCAGTCATAACATCATAGTACGATGATGAATAGCTCACGCAGGAACAATAGGCTGTATCACACAGCCTGGGTGTGTAGTAGGCTGTACTGTCCAGGTTTGTGTAAACGCACTGTGTGTTCACACAAGGAGGAAATCTCCTAACAACACATTTCTCAGAACGTTTCCCCACTTTTAAGCAGCACATGACTATATATATATATATGTATATATATATATGTGTATATATATATATCTTTGGTTCTGTTTCTCTGGAGAACTCTAACTAATACAGCAAGGTTCTACAGATGCATCCAGACTATAAGGGTGTGTATACAAAAAGGAAAAACCATATACAACAAAGAGTCCACCACTAAGGAATATCCATTTAATGATTACTTCACAGTAATTATAGAGACCAAAGTAGATGTGCCAGTATAGAAAGATTTCCAAGATATTATAATTAAGTGAAAAAAATAAAGTATAAAATCTTTTTATAGAATAAAGTATACAAACAAGAAACATATGGATTGGGGTATTTCTTTGGGACAAAATATAATAGGAATCTTAATAGTAGTTCCGTTTGCATAGAAAGGTAGAGAAGGGAAGGGAGAGTTTAGGGCAGGAAGAGAGTTACTTTTTGTTTGTCTTTTTATACTATGATTTTTTAACCTTGTATACATAATAGTAAAACATTTTTATTTTATCAAAAGTTATCTGTAGGGAAAAGGAAAATTTTTCTGCTCTGATTTTTCTGCTTGTATCCTTCTTTATTAAATACCAATATTTTTAATAAAATAGTCTTTAAAAATCATTTAAGCAAAAGTCAGGAAAATAGTAAAAGGTAACAACAGGAAAGGATAATGAATAGAAAAGGTAAAATGATAGACTTATGACATAGCAGTAATTACAACAAATATGATTGAGATAAATTTCCCTAGTGAACAACAAGCTCTTGGATTACATTTAAAAAATCAGCAAGTAGCTGCTTATGAGAGGCACACTTGAAAGAAAATGAGACAAAAATGCTCTATGTAAAGACATGCTTAAAAATAAATGAGACAAATGCAAAAATAAATAAATGAAAATCATAATAAAACAAATGAATTTTAAAGTGTCCTTGGACATTTAGAATCTAAAGTTTAGACTATTCTGGTGTTCATGACAATAAGAATATTT